TCTGACGCGACATTAGCTTAGTTATATACCTAAGTTATATATTACATATACACACTTTAACATCTTATGTGTTAGTTGTGTATGTATATATATATATATATTTTGTCGGGGATAAAATTACTTCGTATATTAAAGATAAAAATTGCTTTTAAGATTTTTATAACTTTGATAATATTTATAGAATTCTAATAACTTTGATGCATTTCAAAATTGGATATAATCGTAATGTGTTTATGGTAATTAAAAATAAGTATTATAAATATTCGTTTAATAAATCTGGAGAATAAGTGAAAATGTATTTTTTTTTTCTCTCTCTCAAATACGATGATATTTTATTATCGATATTATTAATGTTTAAGTACAATGTTTTATAGATTTTATTATATATCAAAGTGAAACGATGAAATTAATAGTTAACTTTCTCTCAACTCTGTTATAATTGTGTTGTATTAATCTTTATCGCGATATTTGTGAGAAAGATTTTCGAAAATATTGTAACAACTTATGTACGTTTCGATAATTTACGTTATATGATTTTACAGGGTCAATATAATTTATTGTATGGCATAGGTGTAATAAAAATGTTCAAAAGGTACGGTGTTTCTTCCTTGTCGAACAAAACGCTCTTACCCTAACACTTTTTATTACTTCGTTAATATATAGAATAAATGGTAGCCGTCTAATTTGAAAACACACAGCTACAGATTTAAACGAACCCTCGAGAACATTTTTATTCGTTTATTGTACACGTGTAGTTCTCAGGTATGTGTAATATCAAATTTGTTCGGTCGTTTTTTTTTTCATGAATTTTTATCTTAACTCTCGAATTCTATATAAAACGATCTGATTTCTTTTTTTTCTTTCTCTCTAGTCCAACAACAATTTTTGTTCAATTTTTATCGTTAAAAAATAAATAAAAATGTTTGAACGTTCCTATACATAATAAATATTAAATAAACATTAGACATTTTTATATTAAAATTTATTATTAAATTATTATTATTAAATATTAAATAAACATTAGACATTTTTATATTAAAATTTATTATTAAATTATTATTATTAAATATTAAATAAACATTAGACAATTTTATATAGAACGAGAGTGTAAATTTATTGAATTTTTCATTTTAAAGGATTCAACGAGGATTAAAAACGAGTTATTCTTAAATGTCAATGGTTGAAACATTAAAAACGTGTAAAATTTTATTAACATTGAGATGTATCTCACGATTCTATAAGTAAAACTGTATAATAAATAAGAGAAACGTAGGAAGGAAGATAAATGAATAATCGATTAAAACTAAAACACGGTTTGTACGATTTAAACATAGCGAATTTCATTTTCAACGGTCCACCATTAAACAGGCCGTGATTTCAACTAAACAGAAGGGTAGGGATCTGGGGGAGAGGATACGGGGGTTGGAGGGGTGAGTTGAACGTTAAACTTTTACACGACATTTGGCAGGTGAACGGCTGTTATGCAAGCGCATCGTTGCTAACGTAGGAAAGGTTGCCTTGGTATATAAATACGTGATTACTATACATAGCATAGTTAATACTATTTGCAAAAGAAAATGAGTATCACGATTTTTACATTTTTTGGTTCTTTTTTTTTATTCAAGATGCAAAGAAGAAGAAAGAAAAAAAGAGTATCAAATTTTAGATCAGTGTTCGATATGAATCCTAAACAAAAATTATAATACAATATTTATATATTTATTAATAACTATATCATACAAAATCTATTTCTCGAGTGTTATATAAAATTTTGAAATAAATAATTTTTATTCGACGTATATGAAATCACCGTGTTATTTAATTATGTAAATGAAAAGGAAAGAAATAAAAAAAAAAAAAAAATAGAAAAGTATTTTAATTATAGATTCGAATAACTAACTAACTAACTAAAAAACAGGAATACATGATATATTAAACCAAGTTTTGAGGGGGGGAGGTCAAGCAAATAACCATAACGCAACTCGTTCGTTCAGTAGTAGTTTGTCGAAGGCGTTATACCAGTGCCGAAAGTGTTTTAATGCTTAAGAAGAAAAGGTAATTCAATAAATCGTACGTTAGCAATGATTCATACTCCCTAATCGTCCCCGTATTTATCTAATCGCTCCACTTTAAAGTAGTTTAACGCGCTGATTTGCTGTAATATATGTGATCAATAAATGATCATTCAATCTCCCACCCCACCTTTCTTTTCATTTGTTTTTTCTCTTTTTTTTTCTTTCTCTTTCTCTTAGTCACGTCTACAAAAAAAAACGCACACACACTTGCGTAAAACACGTTCGCATAATGGGATTACGATTGATTATACGAATTCGTTGTAATATCATAATTATCTTAAAAAAGAAATAACCAATATGAGAAATTATACTACGATGAGAAAAATCATGCACGTGCATCGAACAACCATCGATGCACATCCATTTGATTTTGACCGAAAAATTAGAAAATATAATACTTACGCGATGAATATTTTAAAAATTAATTCTACACGCATTTATTATATAATATCGTAATTATTTAAGAAGAAAAAACAACAAGATAAAAATAAAATCACGTAGGTAAAACTTCGATGCACAAATTTTGATTGTCGCGTAAGAAATAAATAAAGAAAAAAAAGAAAAATATTTAATCTTCGCATACTTTCCTTGGAATATAACGTTAGTTTGAGATTATCTTTTTCTTCTTATTTTTTTTTCTAATAAATGGCAGAGATATCCTCGATAATTATTAATTACGATGCTCGTGTCATAAGCTAACGATCAACTATACTGTGAGAGAACCGTGCTTTCGAACCTGCGTTTCTAGTTTCTATTTAAATAGTGTGGTAAGTATATATAAACGTGTGTGTATTTGTATGACTATGTATGAGAGAAGCATTCGTTGCAACCGAGGGAATACTTTTTCAAGATGAGCTTCCACCATTCGCATAAGTAGGTGTTTACGAGTCTCGATGTAAAACGTATGCATAAGTGTAAGTAAATTCGCATTCAATTATGTTCATCGCAAAACTACGTTTCCAATAATATTTTATATGACTCCGCGATTATTTATTTATTTATTATTATTTATTCTTCTTCTTTTATTTTTATTTTTTTTTTAATATATCATCAAAATAGCACAGCTTTCTCTTTTTAATCACGAAAAAATGTTAATTTTATTTCCCCCTCGATTGGATAATATTATTTTCATGCATATTTATAACGAGATAAAACGAATATTCGCATATATATCGAATGAATATCGACGTTTATTATATAGGAACACCTTATAGTATTACGATTCAAATATTCTCGCACTATAATCGAAAATAAATAATACTATTATCGGTCATCCTTACTATTTTAACGTTCCTATAATTGATAATAAATACGCAATTAAAATTTCATTTTATTTTAACAGTTTCTCTCTCTTCTTTCTATTTTTTTTTTTTTTATTATTTTTAATATTCCTTTTTTTAACTTTACGTAAAAAATATTACGTAAATTTCTTTCTCTCTCTCTCTCTCTCTCTCTTTATTTCTCTACGGGATGAATTTTAAATAAGATATCGAATGTTACAACAAAGAATAGATAAATTCTAATAATAAAGCAATGCTCTTTTTATTTTATTTTCTTTTTTGAAATGAAGCATCCAAGCACGTATTCTATTTTTAATATCGACATAAGTGTCAGCTATTTTTGTACGAGAGATTATCATTTTACTATTCGTGCGTATGAAGGAAGGCTCTTTAAAAGACCCATCATCGTTTATAAACTCAACGTTAGAAGGTGCACTTTAAAATTTTCTTAACATAAGTCAGACAATTACTAATCGATTGATAAAATCATATTGATATGAGAAATAAAAAGTGAGAGAAAGTATGATAAGGGGTGTATGTTAATTGGTAAAAAAATTGAACGTCGAATGATTAAAAAAGGATTCTAACTAACTTAAAACTTGTGCACTTAAATTTCATCGAGTGGTACCTTTCACAACGACATTATAAACACACACTCTTCTCAGAATAATAATCGTTTTACTACTCAAAGAATCGCATGCCAATTTTGATTAATTCGAAGAAAATAACCTATGCTGAGAAATCATTTCTAATATTCCGATTGAAATCTCATTGGAAAAAATATCTATCGATTAATAATAACGTTTAATACGTGACTCATATAAATACGATAATTAATTAATTAATTAATTAATTAATTAATCGTTTTGAAGAAAAGTAATTCTATGATAAATGATATTCTAAACAATTCAACGTTGTTTCAATCCACGAATTATTATTTCAAATTTTTGTAATAAATTATAATAATAAAAGTTAGATCGATCAAATGATATAAGAAGAATATAAAATAGATATTAAAATAATAAAAATAAAATACAAATAATATTCAAAATATAATATGAATTTTACCATTTGTTCAAATTAATTAAATTGTAACTAGATTATTTCTCTCGTCCAAAATTATAATTCATATTCAAATATTTAACAAACTTTTAGATCTTTTGTGTTTGGAATATTAATAAAAAGAAAAATGTATGTCTACATAATAAAAAAAGACGCTGAACAGTAAGATTAAGGTAACATGTTAAAAAATAATTGTATGAGCCTCATATATGTTATAATATAATAAAATAAAATTTCCAGTTGCTGAAGAAGTCCCGATAAAGGGACGAAACGTCCAACTTAGTTAAATTAAGTTCTACTTCTTTTTATGCCCAAGTTCCCTGTGATACCATATTAAGAATTAAATTGTAACATTTTAAAAAATAATACAAAATATTTGTAAAACAAAGATCACAAAAAAATTGAAAAAAAGTGTAAGATAATAATTAGTTTGTGTTGCTTTCCTTTTAAAATATTGAACATATATATACCCGTATGAGTATACATAATACGGAAGAAAATTTATGTTGATAACGGATAGAGAAACTGTTACGTTAAGGTAATGTTAAGGTAAGTTAAAAGATACACGCAATGCACTTATTACCTGTATAAGCTGGGCAAGGAATAGGACGTAGGCGGCGGCCGCCCTCATGTCTTTCCTTGGGGAATCCCTCGACTACCGCATCACCATTCCCCGTGATCACGAACTCAAATCTTTTTTTTCTTCTTCTTCTTCTTCTTAATAAACTTTTTTATAAATTAAATACACTTTTTATTATTAGTAATATTCCTTTTGTCAGTCACAAGAGTATCTCCTTCTGCTCCTTCCGCTTCTTCTTCTTTCTTCTATTATTTTTATTCAAATAATTTCATCGAATCACATTAAATCCTCGATTCGATTAATTTTCTTTTTCTTTTCTTTTTATTTTGGTCTTCTTCTAATAATTCACTCAACCCCAACCAATTCACTTGACATTTTTTTTTTTTAATTATTCCTTGTCACACAACGCGATATAATTATATAATAAGAGACAAATTATTGAATTTTTTAGAAATAATCCAATAAATATTATTATTATTATTATTATTATTATTATTCACTTGTTTTGTTTTTTCTTTAAAACTAACACACTGAGACACTTTCTATTCGAAATTAAAAATCATCTACCGAGATGATCTTGTATCTTGTCAATCCTATCGATCATTATTTTAAATCTTTTTCTTTCCGAAAATAATAATAAATAACAAAAAAATAAATGAGAGAGAGGAACTCGGTAAAAAGGAAAGAATATGACAGAGTTTTCCAAGAGATGTGAGCACGGTTTCTGAATCCAGGACAGAATAAGACGAGTATGATAATGATAATGGTGATGATGATGACGACGACGACGATGATGATGATGATGATGATAATGATGACGACTATACCAATGACGATGATGCTGCAGTACGAAGAAGCTACACTTTCGCAACACCATAGAAACCTTTCCCTCGTTCGAGCATCTTCGTTTCGAACACTTTCCTTTACCCTTCTCTCTTTCTCTTTCTCTTATATGCGTCTCGTTAACGTGTAAAGATGCATAAATCGATAACGTGAATAAATTATCACGATTTCTCTTAACAGTTTATATCATTTAACACACAAACAACGAAAATAACGTTTACGATTCGATCCAAAAAATATTCATTCAATCATTTCATAATCCTTTGACACTATAATAACGAAATTAAAATATACACCTTTATTAATATAATAATTCTTCTTATTCAATGCAATATTGCAGTAGAAGCAGCAATATTAACAACAGTAGTAACAATCCACGTGGTACACTAATCAATCGTTCACACACCATTTAATATTCTCCATCACCGAATATTCTTCGATTATTTATTATTAATAAATACAGGACAATGAGAAAAGTGATAGGATAATTCGAATAAAAAAATCAAATGATTAACAAAATAATAATAACAAAGTGTCACAAATCGGAAAGATAATTATTCAAACTACAACTCATTGTAAAAAAGAACAAAAAAGAAAAGAAAATAAGACGCGGGGGGTGGGGGCGAGTGCAGGGGGCGGGAAGGAATAGTGGTTAACAAAACAAAATATAACGAAAAGGTAAAAAAATAAGAGAGAAAGAAAGAGAGAGAGGATAGAACAGGTGTGTGCACGTGCGCGCGTGTCGCGTATTCCCTCTGATTACGTAGGCGTAACGAAAGAGGAGAGGAGTGAAGAGGTTGAAGTAGTGGTGGTGTGAGGAGGGTACGAGAAAGGGTAGAATGTGTGGGTGAGGGTTGCACGTATTCCAACACGTTATCGGTTTCTCGTTGTGTAGTTCGTTGATACGTTGTTCCCCGGGGTTGGTTGTTCCTTTTCTTTGTGAATAAGAAGAGATGGGTGCACGCACGCACGCACCCACCCACGCACGCACGCACGCACGCACGCTGACCGACGGTGGAATAAAACACACGTTAGAGAAATAAAAGATGTGATGAATAAAATACTACGGGCACACGGAGCCGTAGATTCTAGTGAAGTAAAACACAGAAAAGACAGGACGATCGCTCGAGGGATACTGGAGCCGAAGCCGCGGGCCGGCCTGCGGGCCACCCCCCCATACTCTCCTCTCTTTCTCTCTCTCTCCTTTCCTCTCTTCACCATCTCCCCACTCATCTTACTTCAACGTTACCCCCACTCTCTACGAGTTGCGCACCGTACATCGGACCCACTCGAATTTCCCCCACCACTAATTTTTACTCAGTCAGCCCCCGCTCGCTCACGCTTACACTACTGTGGTCTTTCTCTCTCTCTCTCTCTGTCTGTCGATTGGTTACTTGTATGTATCTTTCTCTTTCTATATTTCTAAATTTTTATATCTTTTATTCTTTATATTTATGAAAGTAAGTACTCGATACTCTGGCCCTTCTTCTTTTAACCCTTTGAGTGTTATGGATGTATATATGCGTTTGGTAAAAGTTGATACGCGTGTTTATCAATGTTAATGTAAAATCATTGTATCTTTTCAGATGATATTATTGTGAGAAAGAAATATTGTAATTATTAAATATAATTTATTAATATTAGCATCTGGTTATATTAATAATAAACTATTTTATTCATAGAAAACACTTCAGTTAAAAGGATTTACCACTCAAAGGGTTAATTCTTCTTTTTATACTTACTATTACATTTTTCTATATCTTTTTTAAAAAATTTTATATTGTTCATCTCATTATCATCTCATCGCTACTCTATTTTTTATTTTGATTATTCAATTTTCCAAATTTCTTATATTTTTGTACTATTTGCAATCGAACCTATACAGATAGATTTAAAAATCCTTAAATTAAAATTACTATTAAACAAAACGTTACACATATATATATATTTTTTCAAAATATTCGACTCATTGAATATCATTAACAATAAAATAATAATGATTAATAATATTTCAATTGAAAAATCATTTCTTTCTATTATACATACATACTTTAATATTTATATTTTACATACAATTATACAAGAATGATCGACTAGACGTCAGAATCTGTTTATGAATCTAACAAAAATAATTGTAAATTATTTTCCTACCTGTTATAAATTTAAAAAAAAAAGAAAATCATTGATTCACTTAATCGTTCGTTCGTTCGATTTATTTATACTTCTCGTTCACTTACTATCTCACGTTATTCTTTATCACATATATTTAATCTCGCAGACATATTTAAATTCACTTTCTTTACAGTACTCGCGCACATATATCTTCTTCTATAATGTTTTCTTTTAACACTGATGTTTTCTCTCTCTCTCTCTCTCTCTCTCTCTCTCTCTCTCTCTCTCTTCGTGAAATAAAATGACACGCTGACGATGTTATATCTACGAGAAGAAAATATTTTTCTATTGGCGATCGTCCGTGTCGAGAAATACGAGTTGTACGATCACAGTAAGGATCTCTTCTTGAAAAATAAAAAAAAAAAAAAGAAAGAGAGTAAGAAAGAGAGATGGAAAACGTGGTAAAAAGATTAAAAAAAAAAAAAAAAGGAAGAAACAAGAAAAAAAAATCCTTGCTTATGTGAACACGCCCCATGACTCGATTATGCCGATGCGAATAAATGTAACTGTACCAATAGGAATAAATTAATGTGAGGTGTCTATAATGTGTAACGAGCGTAACACGTTGCGTGATTAGTGCAATAACGTGCGAATATGCTAATTTGATTTTACGAGATATGTGTGTCTGTTAATACTTCAAGAAAAGTTCCCATATCCAATTCAATAAGTAATCTAATATATATCGATCATTCGAATATATTTATTTAATTATTTGATACGTGATATGATGTATAAAAATTGATATGAAAATGAATTATCATTCTCTCTATGTGTTAATTATTTTTAAATAAAAAAAATATAATATCCTTTGATTTTTATAATCACACCAAAAATTCTTTTCTTCGAATAATAACAAAAATTAAATGAAAATAAATAATTGTGTTAGAGAAACAAAATTAGATCAAAATTCTCAACAAAATAGCACGATGTTTCTTTTTTTTGTTTTTTATGGGGGGGGGGGGGAGGGCCAAGTTCCAGACGTCTTCTGATATTTTCGAACGCGTATTAGTATCTCACGTGTAATCCTGATCGAGTCTTTAGCAAAGCGGTTAAACTTTGGTCACGGGGGTTTTTCTGCTTGAATAAGGGCTTCTTCGATCAAGAGGTCCTAAAAAAGCGAGTCGAAGGGAATTATGTATATTTCCATAGAATGATTTCGGACGATGAATAATGGATAAGTTCTGTCGCGTGTCCACCGTCATTATGGTACCCCATGAGATCGGCACACGCGTCCACGTTGTGTTCCATCTCGTATCTCTTTCTGACACGTTCTGATTGCTCACCCAATGGGGGTTAAATCTATGGTCATTGAATAATATCTGTCCCCCATAATATACGTTATAATAAAGTTGCCCTATAACAACACCGAACTAAAGAAATTTAGAAAAAAAGGGTCGACCATTGTGATTTAAAAAAAAACCTTCAAATTAAATTCAACAATACTCGAAGGTTAGTCAAGTTTTCTTGTTTTTTTTTTTTTTTATTCGAAAAAAGTTTGCAATCCCTCAACGACGTTATCAATAATTATCTGATACTTTAATACGTAATCCTGGAAATAAATAAAATTATTTATGGTACCCGTAAAGAGTTTAGAATATAATTCGTTGTAGTGGCTTATCTTTGCCCATTATAAGGTATATAAATTTCAACCCTTTTTTTTCAACCCTTATTATACAAAGTATTTAAAATCTTCCGCGAATAAGAGAAATATTGTTTGGGAATAAATAAAAGCTTATCTTCGATACAGCAGACTACCATCATTTTTCTTTCTATTTTCTACTTATAGATATTTACTAACGCACGCACGCACACACATATACACACATATACCTGGACCGTTAGAATTTCTAAGTGAGATACGATAAACGAAGAGGATTGTCGTTTAAAGTAGCAATTATCTTTTAAATTACATCGCTACACACAATCTTTTGCAACGCTTGCTGCTTACTTGCTTGCTTGCTTGCTTGCTTAGTTACCTTATCAATTTTCTTCTTTGTCTATTTCATCCCTTTCATAATACAATTTCACATTTATTTCTTTCATAATTTATTTATACAAACACTAAACACAAAAGATAAAATAAATAATCCCTTCGTGACAAGGGAAATCTAAAGAAAATTATTATATATATTAAAAAAATATTCATTGCTTTTTCGAACTCATTGTGTAGCCCAATATATAGTAAACCTCCGAAATCCGTCCCTTGACCTTTCCCAAGCCCAACTTATGCTACTTATTCGTGGCGTTAAATGGAATCTCGCGAAATTCGGCTAAAAACCTAAAAAAGTACTTGCACAAACACATACACAATAAACATACATACATTCATACATAAGTGCATACAGATAAAAGTACCTACGTGTACTTCAGAATAAGAATAAGAAGAAGAAGAATAAACGATCGTAGCGCGAAGCGAGGTCAGTCTCGGTC